TCTGCATCAGGTCCGATATAGTCTTGCGTCCCGCGCTGCTCTTTCTGTCGTCCAACACTTCGCTGTCTGAGTCCTTTCCGCAGCTGCATGTCGACTTCTCACTCTGTATGCTCATGTAGCTGGACTTCTTGCTGGACATGCCCTGCTCCACGGAGAGCGTTATGCTTTTTTTGTATGCAACTCCATTACCATTTGGAACCGCTTCTGGCGTTTGCGCCGCGTCGGGAACGGCATCAGGTAATTTCTGCAAAGGTTTGTTTTTCGCGCAATCACTTGCAATGTTTGTATACTCGCAGGTAAATAGGTATGCAGTTATCAAAAAACTCTAAAAGGTCTGTAAAATAAGGTAAAAGTGCGATTGTTTTTTGGAGATTCATATGATTTAAATTTTAACGTCTGCGCTAAAAACATTCTCTTTACAATCCAACCATCTTTGGTACGTTGTTTTTTATAGTAAACTCATATCTTATGACTATGTGCAACTGCTAACCCTAATCGAATAGGCGTAAGTAGGTATGAATGTTTTCGTAGTTCTAAATACGGAATATGAAAATTTGATCACTATCGTCTAAATAGAAATCGGTAGCATAGATCGTTAACTAAAATCTGATACGTAACTAATACTTTGATAAAAGATTAGTGCGTGTTTGGGCGTCACCGATCACCTAAAATGAGAGTGGAAACAATTTTAATCAAGAAAGTACTAGATTTCGTAACTCGTGAATGTAATGCTGAAATGCTTGTTTTGTACAAAGTTTGCGAATTAGGGATACTTATATTGAGATTTATTGAGTTAAGCGATAACATGAAGTAAAGTACACAACAAGAGTAAATATTAAATACCTTTCTTAAGTGTGTGATGTATATATTGTATTAGCTGAGATTCTGTTTGTAAGATTATTTGTCTTTGATAGTTGTAGTTCAATTTCCCAAATGAAGGAGGTCTGTATTTTTTCTCTTTTCGAAAGGCTTATGCACAGTAAATCCACGTACAAATTCTTTATCAGTATGAAAATATTTTATTAAATACTTTTACTAGTCACTTTCGTTTGTCAAACGTTTAAGACAAATTAGTTTGTTCAACAACGGGGAAGTACCGGATTATCACAGTATCAGAGTAAAACAATACAGTTTTATGTTCGGCGCGTATAAAATTTATGGCATTGTGACAAAAAATTTTAGGTAATTTTTGTTGTGTAATTATTGTCGTCTATGATGATTGTGCTCTATCGTAAACTCTTTAAAAGTGTTTTTGTCTTAATGAATTAAAACTTACTATACAGAATTAAAATCCATAGTTCTTATCTATATTCTGCCTCTAGGATATACCGGTTTAAGAACCATTTTACATTTTCTTAAAAAAAAAATTCAAACACATACGTGTAATAATATTAAATTAGTTGTTTCGATTTTGACTCCAGTATAAGGTAGCTTGCAAATCATCACATTTGACTTTTGCACATAACATAGTACCTAGCATTATCCAGTAGATGGCGTCCTCCTAACTCTAGGTCATCATAATTAATTTGTAGTCTCATTGACTCAAACAATTAAACAAATAATTGTAACTTCCGAATTCCAATCGTTGTGAATTAAAAAATAATAAACACTAATTAATTATAGATTTATGTATTATCTTTTCTTCCTTCTTGCGCGTTTTTTTAATCGTACTACACATCTGTTTAATTTTAATAACTTATCGCGAAAATAATTTTTATCAGTATTAACTACCTTGATTTTATATTCTCAGTAACATCCTAAGTGTCCTATTTCTTTGTGCCGTATTATTTATTTATTTTTGACCAAAAACCATGAAAGTGCATCAATGTAGTAATTCTTTTCAGACAGTTTTGGCAATAATTTTAGGTTATTTCATTTTAACACATTATTCACAAATAAAATTGCGTATATTATCCATTTGTACCAAAACGATTTACCTGTACTTTGAGTCCTTGTTTATTGATAAGTAATTACATGCTTGATTTCATCATGAAATTTTAATTGGCGTAAAACTGTCTTGATAGTATGTTGACAGGTTTCAGTGTGTACATAAAATAAACCCAGGATCTTGTTTTAAAATTCAATATCGTCACAGTAATATCAGTGTAAACAATTCAGGATAAATATACGAATAGCAGTACAATTGGTTATTGGAATTATGTAGTTTACACTGCATTCCAAGCCGAGTAAACTATCTTTTAACTACGTGTAAATTTTGATAACGCAATTAGATTATTTAATTACTAATATTTACTACATAAATCTCAATGAATTTCTAGTATGGTTGTTTACGTTGCAACAAAGGAAACGTGGGATGACTTACAGTAACCAAATATACTCACACTTATAGTTTCTCGTCGCTCGGAGCCT